AGTCTTGTCTATTAAAAATTTCCTCACACTGATAAATGACTTTGGTAAAGTCTTAGGGTATAAAATCAACAGGCAAAAGACAGTTGCATTTATATACTCACTACAAACTGGCAAAGAACCAAATAAAAAACACAATATTGTTTACAATGGTCTCACAAAAAAAGAAATACCTTGGCATTCACCTAACCAGGGAAGAGAAATATCTTGAAAATGAGAAATACAAAAAGTGTTCAATAAATCAAGGATGACACGAACAGATGGGAAAATAGCCCATGTTCATGGATTGGAAGTATCACCATTGTCAAGATTTCCATTCTACCTAAGCCAATCTATAAATTTAATGCAATACTCATCAAGTTACTAATATAATTTTTCTCAGACCTAAAAATGACAATACAGAAATTCATTAAAAAAAAAAAAAAAGAACACAGATAGCCAAAACAATCCTCAACAAAATGAACATGAGGAGGATAACTCTGCCTCATGCTGTTCATGTAAAATGCCAGGGTTGAAATGGACAAATACATAGAAAGAATCTCAAAAAAAATCACTGAAACTGAACATAGCCTCTCAAAACATTGCTAGCTAGTACACTAATGCCAATGGGTTTATAAATACTTACTTAACAGAGAAACTCTGTACCACAAAGGGTCCACTCTATAAAAATTCTCTGGCTTTTTTTAGGGATCCTTCATGTATAGTCATACCATTACATGAAGTACATAACACTTTATAGTATAAAAATATGCTACTTGTTTATGTATTATCTTTTTTTCTTCTTTAAATTGGAGTCTCACTGTCACCCAGACTGGAGTGCAGTGTCTGCTCCCGGCCAGTGCAACCTCGACCTGCTGGGCGCTGGTTATCCTCCCACCTCAGCCTTCCAAGTAGCTGGAACTACAGGCGTTCGCTTCCAAGCCCGGCTAATTTCTTGATTTTTATTGTAGAGATTAGTTCTCACCAAGTTGCCCAAGCGGGTCTCAAACCCACGGGCTCAGGCAATCCACTCACCTCAGCCTCCCAAGGCGTGGGATTACAGGCTGAGCCACCGCTTTTTAATTGTTGTTATCTATAGTGCTCTTCCTACTTATAAAAAATTGCTAACTGTAAAACAATATCTTAGGTAGATCTTTCAGGACATGCTCAGAATCATGAAGATGACAGTTCCATGCAGTTTATTGTCCCTGAAGACATTCCAGAGGGATAAGATGTGGAGGTGGAAGACAGTACATTGGTTATACTGGCCCTCTGTAGGCATAGACTAATGAATGTGTATCTATCTTAGCTTTTAATAACAATTAAGGAAAGTAAAAAATTATAATAACATATTTCAAATAGTAGTAGGCTTATAGAATAAGGATATTTAGAAATTATATTTGCATAGCTGAACAGTGTGTGTTTTTAGACATGTTATTTAAAAAGAACCAATATAGCTGGGCTCAGGGCTCAGTCTATAATCCCGCAATTTGGGAGGCTGAGGTGAGTGAATTGCCTGGGCCCGTGGGTTCGAGACCCACCTGGGCAACTTGGCGAGACCTCATCTCTACAATAAATCAAAAATTGGCCAGACGTGATAGCACGAACCTGTAGTTCCAGCTACTTGGAAGGCTGAGGTGGAATGATTGCTGGCGCCCAGCAGGTCGAGGTAGGTGTCTGTGAGCATGTCACTGAACTCCAGTCTGGGCGACAGAGACTCCAACTCATAAAAAATTAATTAATTAATTAATTAGAACCAATAAGTTAAATATACAGTTTATAAAGTAGAAATTTACAGTAAGCTAATATTAATTTATGATTGAAGAAAGAAAAATATTTGTATAGCTTTAGTGTAGCCTCAGTGCACAATATTTATACAATTTACTATAGTAAATTACTGTAATGTCATAGGCCCCAAATTCACTCAACCCTCACTGACACCCAAATAAACTTCCAGTCCAGTCCCATTGATGGTAAGTGCCCTGTACAGCACACCATTTTTACCTTTTTATGTTTAGATACACAAATATCTACCATTGTGTTACAATTGTCTACAATATTCAATAGAGTAGCATGCTGTGTGGTTTGTAGCCTAGAGGCAATAGATTATACCATAGAGCATAGGTGTGTAATAGGCTGTATAAACTAGGTTTGTGTAAGTCCTCTCTATGATGTTCACACAATGACAAAATCATCAAACCTTGCATTTTCTAAGACGTTTCCGCATCATTAATAATACATGACTATAATGCTATTTAATTGGAAACAATAAGCGAGTGTTTGAAGGAAGAATGGTAGACATTAGTATATCACATTTAAAAGCAAAATGGTGAATGTTACGTTATTTGCCATCTTTAATTGATTTTGTTGTTATATTTCTATATTAATCGAATGGAAAATATATTAATGTAGTTCATGAAATTGTAATACATAAATATAAATAAATGTATTACTAATAGAAATACAATATGCACACAAGTGTATAAGCATGACAGATTACTGATTTAGTTTATAAAAATATTTTAAAATATAATTAACAGAAATACATATATGGCTAGCCCACATTAGTCATTGTCTGGAAGGCTCAAATAACTGATCTGTTTCCAAGGATATACATATGAATCTTAATTTTATTTTTCTAGATTTTAGAAAGCTATTTTTTAAAAATTTAATCTTTAAGAGACATCATGGAATATGCTTTGGAATTACAGACAACAGACATTCCCCTTTTTCTTGATATGAAAGGAAAAATAATAAAATAATTTCAACTTTAATTAAACTGGATAATTTGAAGTATTTCTTCTGATGTTCACATGTCATTGAAATTTTGTTTCAAAGTGATTTTTCTGTTCTTCCTACTTTTAGCTAGGTGACATTTTAAAAATTACTTATCACCTTCTACAGAGTTGGACTTAAATTTAGCCATTTACATAAATATTTCCAAGAAAACATAGATAATTCCTTATTATTGGACAATAGATCAGTGAACAATAAAATGAATGGTTATTTATTATCAATATCTGACATGGTCATATAGTTCAATAGTGTTTAACATTTTATCCTTCCAAGAGACATTTATTTTTGTTAGCTAAATATGATCAGCTTATTAAATAATAAAATTGAATAATGGAATTTTACAAATTAGAGAAATCAAGAAGATAAATTTGCAAATTTAAGTTCAGAAATTGATTTCACTTAAAGTTAATAATGTAGTCATTCATCATAATAATTAGTGACAAATTAAATTTCTATGGATAGGGGGATTACAATTTTTAAAAAAAATTCATCATAATAGCAATATTAAATGTATAAGGAAAAAAGTATGTAATTTCAAGTTTGTCTAACTATGGAACTTATACATTAACGATTCTATTAACAAGGCTTAAGATTTTAGTGTTTGTGATTGTGATGGAAAACATTTCATAGTTACTAAAGTTTTTGTTCCTTTTCATCATGCTAAATATAAAAATAATTTCTAAGGGGCACTTGAAAATGGACAAAATAAATGACACATTAGGAACCAAAGTCTCCTATATTCTGAAAATGTGTGAGTGTGATGAGAGAAACTGATTTTACATTAGTTAAAGTATGAGAGTTTTCTATTCAAATCTTAAGTGACACATTTATGAGATCTGTTGTTTCCACTCCTGCTTCACTCTGAGCCTTCACAGGGCAGTCTGTGAAGATCACAGATAATTTTTGTTTCCTCATGAGAATAACCTGACCTTTCCACTAAAGAATGCAGGACTTTCTGGAGACAGAAGGTATGTGTTGTCATTCTTTTATTTCTCTAGCAACATATTTCATATAATAAAAAAATTATAATGCTAGATGCAATATAAATAAGGTTAAATTAACTTAGAATGAAATCAAAGTAGAACATTGGCGTTTTGCTTGAATAAATTATGGTGAAAAATAAGACTAATATATAAAATATTTTTTGAAAATTTCTTACTCATTTAAATTATTGCCTGTCAAGAATTAGCTAAGTATATACACAAGATTTTTAATCAATATAATTTAAAGTAAAACTTGCAACCATCAAGATAATGAATAATTACTTTTGGATTTTGTAACCAGTAAAAGTATAAAAATAACTATATTTAGCCGAGCCATTAAAGATAAAATTTTTAATATAAATACATCAAATTATGAATGCCGAGTATAAATTACATATATATTTTTAGGTAAATGAAAGAAGCTTTATATTTAGTAAAAATAAACATGAGCTAGTTTTCATAAAATTCTATCTAAACTTAATTATAAATAATTCGAAGATTTTTAAAATTTGAGAAAAAATTGCAAAAAAAAGATGCATCACACTGATATAACAGAATCCAGCTTAATTATTTTATAGCCTGTAATTAAATTTTTAATTATCTCGTATAAATTTCAATGCCAGAAATTAATTCTAGATCTCAACGTCTAGATAACTTGACCAGAATATTTCCAATTGCTTACAGAAGTAAAGTGATCTTTATTATTTTGACACCATAGGGTATTCCTCAAAGTTTGAATGGTAATGTCAGTCACTAGTTAAATGTATTTTAGATTATGAAATTACCATATGTGCTATTATTGCTCTTTCATTTTATAGCACTAAATCTTTAATGATTAATAAATGTAAAATTGTCATGAAATTAGTGTGGTTTTTTCCCAACATATTATTTTAATTTTTATCCCAGGTATTCTAAAGGTGTTAAAATATTTCTGTAGAATCTGTTAAATTTATTTAATTTGTTTAGTCATTAACTCACGATTATTCACTCATTTCTTGCTCCCACTAATAATATTATGTCTAACGTAGAATTATTTTATTTACTCTATCATGATAATTTTGTTTAAAGCTTTAAGAAAATTGGAACCAGATTTTACAGTATATTCCTGCAAAATAAATATTATTACTAGCCTCCAGCATATACCGTTTGACTATATCAGGGATCTTGTCATTTTATAAGTCATTTATTAACTTATTAAGTAAAGTTACCATCAAGCACAGTCTCTGACATCACATAGCTACAGAGATGAAGAAACAAAGAAGAACCTACTCACAACTTAATCTGTCTGAGGACCCAAAGAAGCAGCAAAAAACCCCTAAGGTCTCTGAATGCTCCATTTCAGTAACTGAACAGGAAAAAACCCACATGAAATTAAACCTTCAAAATGTTTCTCTGGATCATCAAGAGGAAGATATGACCTACCAGAACAAAGGTAAAATATTTAGTCAATCTTCCATATTACTCTACTAGGACGTGCAGTTGGAGAGCAGAGTCATGTGAAAGATTAGGGAATATTTTTCATTCATAGTATCAGAGCTCAGAGTCAGGATATGATATTTTAACATGAAATATGAAGACTAATTTTATTAAGGCATTGTTGACTTTGTAGATCTTGATCAAAAAAATAACAGAGCATTATATTTACTGAAAATAAAATGTTGTAGTTTGAGAGAAAGCTTAGTATGGCAGATATTTGTCTAGAAACCAGAGTTTAACCATGTAATTTTCTGCACACGTGTGTTCTCTCATATGCAACCCTTCTAATTTTACTGTCCTTTCTCTGTTTTTCTATTTCTCCCTGTGCAGATTTACCATCACCTCCAAAAAAGATTACTGCTGAGATCTTGACAATAATTTGTATTGTTCTGATGGCTTCTGTGTTAAAAACAATAGTTCTTATTTTCTGTAAGTATATTCTTGCATGATTGTTAAGAGTACTTACATTTTATTGATTGGCACGCATCTAAGCATTTCATCATATTAGGGAAAAGGGCTTTCATTTTAAAGTATATACTTAATCCAAAGTAAAATACTTACTCTGAGTTTTCAAAACTATAATCATTGGAAAAAACAGTTGTTTAAATTATACATATATATAATTATACACACTTATAATATTCAATTTATTTTTATAATATTAAGACATGCTTCAAGGTTAAAATGTGTTTAAAAATGCAAATTCATTTCTGTAAGTGACTATATAAAATACTGCAACAGATGATGAAGTTTGGAGTTTCAGGCTTTTTATTTTTTTTACAAAGATCTGATTATTTCATTACATTTTCTAAAAAATTAGTTGTATTTCATATTTTTAAATTGTTAATGTGACACATTTTTAAGGTAAGACACTAAAGTTATTATAAATTCTTTATGTATTATTTTTTAAACATTACTTTTATTACTATAGTTAATGTAATAGTGGAGCAGAATAATTCTTCTCTGATAGCAAGAACCCAGAAGGAAACATACTGATTTTCAAATTTCTGGAATTAATATAGTTTACATTTTGTCTGTATTTTAAGGCACTCAAAATTATAACAGATTTTGAGGGGGAAATAGTATAATTATGCTATAAATGCTAATAAATATAAATTATAGAACACTTCCTTGACTTCAACAATAAGCAGAAATACTCACTTGAGTTTCTTCTGCTCTCCTTTTGTCGATTCACTCAAATTTTCTAGTGCCATAGTATGATAAGTGAGAAATAATTTTAGTATCCTAAAAAGTAGTCCTTGCTTCTCATTTTTTTGAAATAATTTCAGGTATGATTTGTACAGCTTCTTTGTGCATCTTATAAAATTCTGCTGTAAAAGATTTTAGACATTCTAATAGATGTGTAGAGACATCTCATTATTGTCTTAATTTGCATTTCCCTAATGATATATAATGATCCATTTATATATTTGCCATCTGTATATTTTATATGATGAGAGTTGGGTTCACATTTTTTACTCATTTTAATTTTTTTTCTTATTGTTTATGTGTAAGCATAATTTGTATATTTTGGATACAAATCCTTTAACATACATGTGCTTTGAAAAAATTTCTCAGTCTGTGGGGTTATCTTTTCCTTCTGTTAACACTATGTTTTGCAAACTAAAAGTGATTGATTTTAACTAAGTTCAATTTATTTTTTCATTGAATGGCCTTTACTCCCTGATTAAAGATCAGTTGTCTTCATTAGTGGGTGCTTCCTGTCTTATTACTTATGAACATGATTTTCACAGGATATTTTTCATCTTTTTCATGAAGGAAAATTTTTAGGGTACTGAGTATCATGTGAGTTTTCTTGATGGTCATAGCCTTTTGCAGTGACTGCAAACACTAAGAAAACAATTGAACTCTCACATTGCCTTTAGCTTGAGAGCATTATTTATTTTATAGAATGTGGTAAATAGATACTAGACTCATAAAAATTTATCTCATTGCAATTAATTCCATCTGTACTTTATATATACAAACTATATATATAATTGATGATTTACTTCCACTCAACATAACCTATTTATTTTATATGATGAGGGTTTGGTTCAAATGTTGTGCAAATTGAAAAACCTTACTGAGAAATAGAAATTAATTTTTGAAAGTGGCTAAATCAAGTACTGTATGAGACGATGAATTTGTTCTTTATACTGTTAAAATATAACCTCAATTACTTCATATATTTTTTCTTTGTACAATCCTACATTTTCCAATATCCGAATGCCCAGCCTGGAGTGCAGTGGCACGGTCACGGCCACCCCAGCGTTGACATGCTGAGGTCCTACATCCTTCAGGGTCAGCCTTCTAAGTAGCCAAACTACAGGTGCGCACCACCACACCTGGTTAATTTATTTTATTTAATGTAGAGATGAGTTGCCTGTGCTGGTCTCAATCCTGCGGGCTCAGGCAATCCACTAGGTTCGGTCTTCCACATTAGGCTCCAAGTCTGGCCTAATTTAACAAATTCCAAAGAAGCTAACATCATTATGACTTATTCAGGTACTAATTTTTTTAAATTAAAGATTATTTTAAATTTTCTAGCTACAGCAACACAGAAGCAGACCAATTCTTTCCAAAATGCAAGAACTCAGAAAGGTACATAATGATTTCCAAAGTTCTGATAATAAGAGTTTATACTTTGTATTGATTTTTAGTCATGCAAAAATGGCCAGAGATTTATTGAGGGAAAATAAATTACAAAATTTAGCAATAAATGTTTGTAAATAACGATCATAAGAACATATTTTCTTTTCTTTAGCAGTAAATTTAAATACTCATTCAATATCACTATACCCTTTTTTGTTTTGTTGCAAATTCCTATTGCTATAACATCATGAGATAAATAATTTTACTTTTATAAAAAAAAGTATGTTCAGTGATTTCAAGATGTGTGTAATGTGATCTTTTGTCTGTTGATTTGTTTCATGTGTGAACACAATTAAGGAACAAGAGACTGTCTCTTTACAGTGTGTACATGTATGAGTAAGTGGGTTTTTAATTATATGTACATCCTGTGAGGATACCTAGATATGTTATGTGCATATATGACAAGTCTTTGTATATTAAGTTTCATTTTAAAGTATTCATATTGTTTCTTGAGAGTAATTTGCAATGTTTCCTCAGCACATAATTGTAGTTGTCCAGAAGAATGGTTTACATATTCCAACAGCTGTTATTACATTGGAAAGGAAACAAAAATTTGGGAGGACAGTATGATGACCTGTGCGTCTATGAACTCCAGTTTGCTTTATATAGATGATGAAGAAGAAATGGTATAGTGGTCAATGTTTCAAGTACTTTATTTAAAGCTTATTTCAGTCAGTTATATATATATGTGTGTGCGTATATATATAT